TGAAGAATCTGAGTATTAGATTTAGAATATAATTATTATTTCAACCTACGAGAAATATATATTATATTTATTAATAATTTTTTATATTAAATTGCGGATCTAGTTATAATATTATTAAATGATATAGATTCAATTAAGACAAACAAAATCTTCAGAGATTACTAAAAATAATAGACAAAAAACATATCAAAATACTCGTGCTCCCTATATCAATCATAATAAAAAAGTAAGTCGTCCCCCGCCTACCTGCTTATTGAAGATATATATCTAAATATGATTTCTTTATAATATCATCAAAAATCTTTCGAAAAAGAATGGGCAGAAAAATATAACAATCATTCTGAAAAATAAATCTCTTGGCAGGTCCCAGCCCGGGATCTAAATTTTTAGGAAATTTAGAATTTGAGATATCTATATATATATATATATTAAAAGCAAAAATTATAAATATAATATATGAATATAAAATTCATAAAATTTATTGCAAGAGATAATGAGTCCTCCAATATAATTAAGAATATATATTTATGCTCAATTCGACGATTGCAATTTAGATCTTTGAAATAGAGAATCTTATATCTGAGCTCCAGGCTGATCATGGCAATATATTTAGATGAGAATAATGATGCGTATGATAAAAATAGAAGATGGCACGATTTAGAATAATGATTATTTTATCAATTTATAATAAAGATAATTAGAATCATATAATCATAACGAATGGTAAAGCGAGAATCGATTTTATAATCGATAATAATATATCGTATTAGATATTGATCCGATGAGATATTCCGGCATCGATCTTCTTACACTAGATAGGAATTCGCACAAAATCGAATATGAAAGTCTCTTGCTGCCGACTACCAATGATCTTGAGCTTATGACAAATATATTTATAATCTATGATTCTTCGACAGTAGCAGGCATAGCTTGCATAGCCATCGTCGTCTTATGAGACCGATCATATAATGATAATTTTAAGGAATATCCGTAATCTTGACTATATTTTAGAATTCAGAAAAATCGGATTGATAATAAATATAATAGCAATCAAATAATTCGCTAATTATAAATAATCAGCTCGTGGCAGCACTATTCAATATAAGAGCATATAGATGAATTATTTAGAATACCTCAGATTCGATTCATTGATAATTTTCTATTCTATATGGAGAATATATAACTATTCTCTATCTATGAGATTATGGAATTAATTATAATGCCAGCCTTCAGGAAGATCTCCCTTCAGAATGATCTCCGACGCTAGCATTTGGACCTCGCTATCTTCTGATTCAAGTAGTTTAAGAGATGCTTCTAAAGAATATAATCGACGGTCTGGATTCCTTATCTCAAATTCGATGGCGAGATTCTATCAATTGTTATCGATATCTATATTATCAAGAATATGCATATGATCGCACGAGAGAGAGATATCAATCTCATCCTCATTATCCAATCGATCTGACTTCTCTTTATGAATTCTTCCACGGGATCCCAATTTGAATTTCCGCTTTAGACTGAATCCATTACGACGAAGATATTTCTCCCACGAAATCTTCGATTTCCAAGAATTAGAATTATCATGATACGCCCATTGGCTCTATCATTTTATTTTCATTTTCAGTATCTTCCAACATCTCCCTTTATTGATATTTCTAATTAATAAAATTCTATTCTTTAGAAGAATCTTGGCGTATCCTTCGCGTCGCTCCAGCATATGGACCTGCTATTTCTACCAAGGGCCGTGATCCTACGAGGCACCAAGACATGACGTAGAAATACGACTATCGGCATCAATCGTAGTTAGGACTACAATCGTCGGGGAATTTTTATTATTTATAAATAAAGCGAGACGAATTAGATAATGAATTGGACGAGAGGTTTCTATGAGATCATCTAGAGGGAATGATAGACCGGGAGAGAATAAAGAATCTCCATGCTCGATCAGATTTATAAATATATATTCTCGGAGCTCGGATCGTAATATCTTAAAGGCAAATCAAAATTGATGGTAGAATAAAAGGATCAGCCATGATATTTTAAATCAGTTCTAGAAAAGATAGATAATATCCAAGAGAATCGTCGTCATAAGATTAGTGCTGCTGCCCCCCCCCCAAGGTCTCAATAATATTCTCTCGCAAAGAATTTTGAATTGAATGAAGCGGATCGGATCTCTGAGTGCGGGGCGAATTCGCAAAATAATCAAACGATATCTAATATGACGGATTCAAATGCTATGATAATAAGCAAAGGAATGATTTAGAATTGAAGATTTTAAATAATAAAGAAAATAAGGCAAAATCAAGAAGAATAATAATTTTTCATCTTCCTAATAATTAATTAGAAATAGCTAAACGATAATCAATATAATAATATGATAATTATAAGAATAATGATCATCTTCATCTATAAATCTTAAATTATTTATTATTATAGATCTATCATAATCCTTTCAGAAGATTTCTATCTCCAATAAATCCGGAATATTCCTTTCCTGTCTATAAAATATTAAAAATCTATAATCTCAAATCTCAAATCTATACTCAGGTCGAAGCCTCACTGGCTCAAAAGCTATGGCATCCAAATCTCGTGCTCTTCATAATTTTGACCGGCGGATCTAAGGCATAAAGAAATATTATCTCTAAGAGATTCCATAATCGAAAATATTATATGAATGATCCTTCAGGACCCATGATTTTAAATCTAAATCGGAAATCTATATTTGAGATAATGATAGGATGGGGGAATTTAAGGAAGCTCAATATCTATAATAAGAATATCATAGCCAAATATAAAATTGGCCATTAGATCGATTGCCAAGATTGAGAAGCAAATTTGCATTCTGAGATCTAATAAAATTTCGGAGCCTGGAATATAAATGCCGAAGTAAGATATAATCATATAAGAAATATCATTGATATCTTCAATATCTTGTTTTTAGAATAGCTTCTATTGAGATTGAAATAATAAGAAATTTTCAATAAAGGTCTCAATTAATATGAGATTTTCTGAGATTCGAAATATTTGATCATCTGAAGATTTGGAATGCCTGGTAGATAGATGTCGAAATAAGATAAGATCATATAGTAGATATTATTGATATTTTTATTTCGAAATATATTTCTTTTCCTGCAATAGTATCCCTATAAAAGAAATATAAATTGAGATCGCCGGCTCATAAGACTAAAATTATAAGCTATCTTCAAAGAAGATTTCAATTAATCTGAGATTCATAGAGACTCTGAAATATTTTGAGCGTCGCTCCTTGGCTGCAATTCCCGAGATATCTCGAGTAGGATTTTCCAGTCCGATTAGCTGAAATAAGAGAAAGCGGCTCTAACGCAAAATCAATACCAATTCGATCTTCGAACTCTCTCGGATCTTCTTATTTTTTTGATTCATATTAATAATTTCGTAATTTTTCGATATACTTCGACTTTACTATATTTATTCTCAAATTTTCTGCGCCATAGTCTTTTACATGCCGAGAATAGATATTTATGAGTGAGAGAATATACAAAATTTAAAGAATTTATCTAATTTAATAATAAAATTCACGATATATCAATTAGATTCAAAAATATTATATATTTTATAAATTATATATATAATTAAATTAATATAATAATGAAAATCATATTATCAATTTATGCTTATTCACTTTCATAAAATTTATAAAACAAATGCTATCAAATCTTATAATAAGAAAAATCTCATAATATAATTTCCAAAATCATAAATTTTCGAGATAAAATAATTCTAAGAAATACATTCATAGAATTATTCTATGCTCGTAATATCTCCAGAAATTATAAGAAAAAATATCTCGAGAGAATAAACATATAAAAAATATTTTCACTTTTTTAAACATTATATTCTATTTTTATATTTATTCTCAAAAAATATATTATTTCTAGATTATAAGATTCAATTATTATTCGCAATGTTTTTTTTTTTGAATTTCTATTTCTATCTTTATTCGCTTGCTCACGACACAAATTTCCTCCGCACCCATGAAATCCCCTCCTCTTTCTACCTCCACTCCTATACCACGATTTCTCTCAATTATTATTACATAAAAATAATCGGCCCAATTTCACGCAACATATCTCACTCCAACCCCTTCACGACACTCCTCTCCTTCTCCCACCAATCCCGATTTAACGCTTTCTCCTTTCCCCATATCCCTTTTCATGATGCAAGGCTGCCACACCCCCATCCCATGGTATCCCCCCTCCCCCTTGTGGGGTGGGGCCTGAAGCCACATCTCCGTCCCGTCCTTGATCGTAATTGTGCCTATTTCTTGGGGATATTGCTCATGATATTGTGACGAGACGAGTCGTCAACCGGATCATCTATGATATGGAAAGAATTTCATCATTATCGTTGTCATCTTCCTCATCAGTATCATTCAAGGAATAGCTAAGCCATCGCCATCAATATCGCCATATAATCCTCATAGTTAAGCATTATAATTCATATACAATGCGAGAAACTACTACGCAGATGGCCGCTTTCTACACTTAGCAGGGGCTAGAAAGTCTAGGAGACCCGCACGACCCCGCCAATCTGCATAACAACAACCAACACCCCACCCCATCTTCCATGCATGTGCTATTAGAGCTTTTGTGCTCTACTTCTTGCGCAGCACGGAGGGATGTTCCTCAGATTTGGGTATTAAATTCGGTCAACGAATATGTTGAGCATGTCGTATCCAAGCTGAACAAAGCAAGCTTTCTGAATGTCACCCGGGCCATTTCGATTTCCTCGCACTTGCATTCGATAGCGGCATGGACGAAACAGAAGTCATTGCACTTTGCGTCCGCTCTTGTCTTCATCACCCATCTGGAGACCAAATTCGCTGTTTTAAGCTCTTGCCCTCAGGTGCTCGTGTAAAGCTGCAACAGCTACGGAAAATGGATCCTCGCAGATCCATGTCACAGGAACTTTGCCTGGCTGTACGGGAATAGGAGGCTGACCCTTTGCAGCCAATCAGAAAGCTAGTCAACGTGCAGAGAATGCTCCCGCAGATTTTGTTCTCCTGTTTCATGTGCCTCAAGTGGGCAGGTGGTGACCTGCGGCAACCCGAGCGAATAGAACAGCATGCCGACGGAAGCGGCTGTTGATCCGCACCCGAGTCAAGCAGCTGCCCGTGAAGCCCAAACCTCGGCCGCATGAGAAACCACGTAGGCTTTTCTTGTCGTGGATGTTCTCTCAGCCAACGGCCGCAAATTTGTCTGTCAGGAGGGGCGACCTCGAAGTGAAAATGCTTGCAGCGCTGCTACCTGACTGCCATTGCAGTCTGAGATAGGAACAAATCGTCGAGACCGTGATGCCTCGGGCCACATTCAATTCCAGATCACTGAGCGGCAGCCGCCATTCAGAACGTACTGGCCTGCAGCCCCCGAAACTCAATTATGTTGCCTGGTTCAGGGAATGTAGCAAGACACGGAGTGGGAATCTACTTTCGGATCTTTCGGCCTTTGGAAGTTACGAAGGCCAGCGAATTGCCAAGATATGCATCACGCCGATCTTGCTCAACCAGAAGCACATACCTCCGACAGGCAAGAGCTTTCGTGAACAAGTGGATTCGCTATTCTGCTTTGTAGGTCATGAGCTCATCGGCATCTAGCGTCCAAGGCCCCACCGGATCGCCTTCCACATATGACAAATCCAAGTGACTCTCCGGTTCTTGTTAGCAAAAATGCACCTCCTTCGAAACCATAACGCCGAGAGGAACCATCCCTGAGCCTTGTGGCGGACATGATCTCCAAATGCGGCTGGTCGCCATGCTTCGCTTAGCTACGAAAACAAGCCCTGGGGGTATTGCTGTAGCACCAGCTTATCCACAGCAGAGCCTGTCTCAGGGCATGGTTTATCTAAGACTTGCACGGCATGCATCGGGCATAGAGGCCTACATGCCCACTGATGCGGGCAATGGCCATGGCGCCTGATCTTCGAGAAGTTATGCACGTGTCATCACGTGTCATTGAGCACACATAGGCGACCGGCTTCCATCCAGGGGAATCCGTTCCAAGTAAATGCCTGTCAAATGGCTCCTGGCATGGCGAACACTTCTTTTTTTAGGAAGCGAGCGGTACTTGGCAGCCCCGCCCCTCGAACTGCAAGCCGGTGATCTGACTTCCTGTGGGCCTGGACATGGCACGAGGTTCCATGTCAGCAAAATCTCAAGAGGAATGGTGAAAGAAAGCCCGCTGCGCAATCAGCCGTGTTCTGCTCGTGGCATCATGTCCCTGAAAGGCAACGATCTGACACCTCAACACGCTAGACTTGCGAGCTGAGAAAACATGCCGCAACCACTCAGATGCACTTCTGAGCAACCGGCTCAGATGTGTAGAAGACCAAGCTGTTTCCAACGAACCTGATTCGCGTTTTCGAACGGGTATGGATATGGACCAGCATGCATCTCAGTCAGCATGGATCTCAGTCGACAGAAGCAACTCGCTTGAGCCCATGACGAGTCCCTCTCCTGCTGTGTCACAGCTAGGATGACTTCGTCATGATGCAGCCTGCTCGACTTGTGCTGGAAGCCGCCTCCCAGAGGCGAAGCTGTCTTTTTTGCCGAGTCCAGAGTCCCCTGGCGCCCTGGCCTTGCTCTCCGTAGAAAAGCCTCTTGCCTCGATCCAGGACCGCCCCTCCCTCCCTCATCCCGCATGTGCTGCGCATGTCCGGGTCCTTTTGTGTGGCCCCTTTTACCCGGGTGAGAAAAACAAGAATGGCAAGCTCGCCAAAGTTCCAGCAGGGAAGTTTGCCGCGCCGTGCAGCGCAAGCAGCACAAGACTCGTCCCGCTTCCTGCAGCTTACTGGCCCTGGAGCCGTCGAAGGATGTCGAAGGAAATTACCACCTCTGCAGCCTTCTTGCGATGCAGCAGATCATAGTTTCAGCTCTCAGCTGAGGCTGAACCAATGCCCTAATATGAATTGTCGACGTCGTGATATTTATCAATACTCGAGTAACACATGCAACGGGAAACCTTGCTTCAGAACAACACCGTGTCTATCCGCCTGCAGACTGTATCGAAACCCCTGAACGCGAACTGCCAGTCTGTTGGACTCTGTTGGGATGTGCTGTGAGAAGGCTGCAAGAGTTGAGGCAACTGAGGTTGGAACCCCCACGCAACCTGCAAGCTGGAGTCACTGATAGCTTTGCATCTTGCTGAGGCCAACCTCACTCGATAAGGTGCGGGCTGTATCTCTACACAGTCGACAGCGTTGCCAACCTTCGAGCAATCCGACTTGTGCTATCTCAAACGACAATGGCGATGAATAAACTGGGGTTGCGGCCGAGCCAGAAATCTGCCGCACCGCACCCTCCCAGCAACGCTCGACTGATTACTTACTTAGTCTTTTGCAAGGATGCTGGGCATTTGTTCATGCAGCCGTGCGGACAATACAAGTCTTGCAATTTCAAAAGCAAACGTTTGGGCTGGCTGCCTTCCGCGGCTGGCTCCAGTAGCGCATCGTTGGTGCCCCCTCGCCCGAAAACTTGGAAGCGAATTCTTACAGGAACTGGCTTCTCCGTTTTAGAATTTGGACTTGAACCGGTGCTGAACATCGTTTGACCCGCACCCCGAAGCTCGGGCTTGCTATGTCGAGGTGCCGCGACATGTACAAGGCACAATGCTTAGTTACAGAGATTCGACGAGAAGTTTACCGTGGCGATAAGCGGTTGGCACCTGGACCTGACACGTCTCTCTCACAGTGCACTGAACAGGACAGAATGCTGCAATCGGTGTTGATGATATGATTAACTGACTCGCTTCCCCCGACAAACTGCTTGATTGACCGGGCCGTGTGTCTTCTCGAATTCATGAGGCATTGCTGGTCCCCGGGCGCAGGTAACGCATGGATGATTCAAGCTGGATCTCGGCTCGTCACACCGAAGAGTGTCAGCGTGTCTGCGGGAGCCGGCACCTCCTTCGTTTGGGGTCTTGGAGCGCTTCTGTCAGCTCTCTCTAGAAATCCGGTGAATGCTGCAAAGGCTTGAGCAGGCGACCCAGATCTTTTTGAAGCGGAGGCGTTGAATCGACGCCGGATGGCACATTGGCCACAAAACTGTTTATAAAACTTGCAAACGATGATTTAATCATCTTGCTCACCTAAGCTAAGCCCCGCTCATGAGCGGCCTAGGGACGCTCTGGCGGGGCCGATCTGGCCGATCCCGAAGCAGCAGGATCCCCTTGTGTGAAAACTTGAGCATGTGCACAGAAGCTGTATCCGTTCGTGAAAGCCTGAATCCCAATCTGACTGAGGCTTCGGCCAAAAAACTGGATACAATCAAAGCAGTGTCTGCACCGCGACTCGTCCTCTGCAGTTCTTTGACACGGGATGCTCACGTCGCAAGGGCCAGGCTGACCTGAGGTCCAGGTAATGCTCTTCGCTGTAGGCTTGCAGCTCGATGGAGGCAACCTCGGACAACCGGAGCTTGCCATGCCGTTGAGAGATTCGAAACGGCTTTTTAAGATCGCGGCTGGCTGGCCGTCAGCTGCTGCCTTCGCAGTGAGGCAGAATCGGTCCGGATTTCCCTGGATCACCAGCATGGCTCTCTCGGCCTGGGTCACGTGAAACAAGTAGCATGTGCAGGTGCCGACTAGCTGGGCGCGCCTTTCCAGATGAGCTTGTCACGATCACGGACAAAGAAACCTGCCGCGGCTAGCACAGACTTGCCAACGCAAAAGGCATTCTGTGCCTTCTGCGCATGTGCAGCACACCCGGCCTCATCCAGGCTCTTCTGCGGCTGCTCATGTTCAACAATCTTGCCGTACACTGTTCCATCGCCTCTGCAAATTTCGATCCTCCGGGAGCCCCAATATCAGCGTCTGCTGAATGCCATGAGTTCGCCGTGGCCATTCGGCCGGCAAGCACTCGGTGCCATTTCCCACTACCGCCAAGATCAGGACATGAGCAAGAAGATACGACTCTCTCCCGCCTGCTGGAGTCCTGCACCTCCTTCAGAGACACCTTGCTCACCAATTCGCTGCTTCGCTGAGCCATGTGAACATCGAAGGCGTTCCTGAGGTCCACCCGTGGCAGAACTGCCTCACCTACGTGTCATATGAACCGCGGTTTCAGGCCCTGGCCCACAAGAGGTGATATGAAGGATCTTGTTCCCGAGCGGTCCAATCCTCTGAAGCCGGAGACAGATGACAGGTGCGGCTTTCTCAAGATCACTGAGAGGTTTGCTGCGGTCGCTGCTTTTGTGACTTGTCTTGCGGGTGTGTCGCCTTTTTGGGTCGAAGGGGCTTCGTGCCACAACACAGAAGTCAAAGCCTGCACTTTTGCTGTGGCTACCTGTGGTTGTTGCCAATCCAAGACTCACAAAGAATCGTCCGGCACCAGTCTTCTGCACGGTCTGCACAGCATCCAGGCTGACCTTCAGGCTACCAGAGGCTGGGGGCAGTAGCCGAACCCGCGTAGTAAGCATCGCAGTTTGCCCCTAGCTCTTGCAGTTCCTCGTGCTGCCCGCCACATCGTTGGTTGGGCTGAGGGCACTGCAAAGATCCGTGTCGCTAGATGTCACTAGTGACACTAGTGTGTCATCTTTCCGGCGACTGTGGAAAGCCGCTCAGCTCTTCAGAACCCATAGAGCGGCCTCTAACTGACCTTCCCGTGCAGGAAGCACCAAGGCTGGAAACAGTGGTTGCAAAGGCGCCGCAGATGCCATGAACATGTCTCCTCTGGAAGGCGAAGACAATAACTCCATGTTCTGCATCTCAACAAAAGGACGCCGGTGCCAACACGCCAGCCCTATCACAAGGTCACCTCTGAAGCCCATCCACTTTGGCTTCAGGCCGGCGTCTGGATTTGTGAATACGAGGATTTGAATGGTCCGAAAATTCAAATCCGATGCAACCAGGCATGGTGCGTGCCAAGAACCCACGAGCGTCCTGTCGGTCGCCCGGCTGCAGAGATGGCAGAAAGGCGCAAAGGTGGCACTCGCCTGGAGGTGGCACTCGCCTGTAAGAACAATGGCCGACATGACAAGGCATCCGCACAGGAAAACTCAATCGCCACTGTCTACACTTCGGTCCTGAGAGGCTATGGACATCCGACTCGCAGGGCCCGGCCCCAGTCCCGGCCCGACGCTGGGGCGGCCGGATGCGTCTCCTTGCAAGGGCGCTTGGGCCTTGAGCACCCACTGGTGGGCCATCAGAATTTGAGCTGTTCTGCCTGGTGGAGCATCCTTCGGTGGAAGCGACTGCTGGCTGAGAGCCAGATACGGGTCCTGTGAGCAACTGCTCTCAAGTCCGGCTTCGTCAGACATGCCTGTCCAGCCTGCGTGCGTCTCGAAGCGGGTGTCAATGCCGTCCGGCTCCTGCGCTCGGTGAGGAGGCTGAGCATGAGATAGCTGGAAAGCCAGGCAAATGCTCTGAAAGTCAGTCCTGGGCCATGATGATCCATCCTGCGCATTGCTTCAGATCTGCTGCAGCTCTATATACGTCTGCTGAAATTTCTCAGGACTGAAGCTTTTGGTTGTGCTGTGGTCCTGGGAATACTCCGAGGGAGCAAACGTCCGGCAATCTGCACTGAAACTGAACAGTGCAGCAAAACCTCGAGTTGCTGAAGCGGTGTGACTTTCGCCGAAACCTGTTGAAGTCGTCGTGCAGCTGTGGTACATGCAATGAGGACAATGGTCATGATCAGAAACGGAGCAACCTCAAGGTCACTGACGGACTCTGCGCGCGACACACGATGCGACATCTCGGCGAGGAGCAAAAACAAAGGTCGCGGAAGGTCGGACCATCTCCTGTGCGGTGCTGCGCACCGCTGCCAGCACCTGCACGAGCTTGGAGCCGGTGGAGCCGGTGCCAGGCTTTCCTTTCACACAGCGCTACGCAGCTCGAGCTCACCTCTCCGTGCATGGCTCCTTCGGACCAGCCCGTGGCATCCGGATGCATCTTCGTGGAGCTCATTGTGTCCAACGTCATATTCGACGACTGACTTTTCGAGCTGCCTGTAGCATCAGGGGCTGTCGGAAGTTCTCCCCAGCTCTCATTCAGAGTCGGCCTTGCTCAAGTTGCTTCAAGGCACTGCGGTTCACGTCCTCTGAGCAGGCTCAGATCTTCTCAAAACGCTACACCGCTCTGCACTCAGCCGCTCTGCGCTCGATGCGCTCGTCTCTTCTCGGCTCCTTGAGCTGTGGTTTCACCTGCGGCCACGGGACATTGCAGGCTGTTCCGCAGAATTCCTCTCTAGGTGATTCTTCTCAAGAAAACGGGTCCCGCACGCTCTGCACCAATGCAGTGGCATCATCGATGCCCCATGCGTGGCTGGCGCTCTCACACCTCTGCAGTGTCACTTGCGTGTGTGTGTGTGTGTGCGCGTGCGTGCGAACCTTCTGTCCGGAACATATCTAGCCTGGAACTGCAGATAGCATTTTACGTGCGGGGGGTACGGATGGGTACGTCTTGGATGCCCGTGCCGAAGAAGCTACTCCTAAACAGGGGAAGAGTGGTATGAGCCAGCACCCTTTGTCACTTTTTCCAGCCAGCTCGATGTCTGCGTCTGCAAGTTCGCAGAGAGAGATATGAACGTTTCTAGAACAAACAGCATCGCTCTAGCTAAGCAAAACATAGGAGGACTCTGATGCACATCCCGTGCACATCTTGGCGAGTTTCAACGTGCGGGCTCGTAGCGGGGCATGGCGGGTTTTCAATAGGCAGTCTGGCTTTTAGAATCTGTTGGAAGCCGCCGATCCTCGATGTTTCCGCGGAGCTTGTGCATCTGAGAGCAAGCACTGCTAGGACGGCAAGCCTGACAGGTCAGCGGCACGGGCTGTGTCTGCTGTTTCCAAAACTTCGATCCGGTCCTTGTCAAGAGGTGCCAGGTCAATGACCCCATTGCATGGCTCGAGAAAACTGAGTGCAAAGCGATGCTGGCACAGAGGAGGGGCTCGGTAGCGGATAGAAACAGCTTCGGTCGAAATAGCAAGCATATAGAGCCTTTTCAGATTGGTTCTCTTTCTGATATATCTCTGCGACGGCACAACTCCTTGTGACGGTATCCGCCAACTGCCGTGGGAGAATCAATCTCCAAGGGTGAGGTGTCCGTGTCCGAACAGGTCACCTTCGCTTCTGCGTACGGCAGTGAAACATTGCAACTCCCTCTGAGGGCGCTGGCCGAACCTTCCGTGGTGCTCGCCTCGGAAAGGAGCAATTAGAAAGCCAGCTCCTTCTTGTTATGGCACGTTGCCTGCGCCAGCCACGGATGACTCAAGCAACCTGTGCTGCACTGCACGCAGAAAAGGGTGAAGCCATTATGGTCTCCGTTTGAGAGTGCTGCCCTTTTGGTCGAACCTGTCTGCAGGTTCGACACGCAGGAGCCCCTGCCTGCGACCATTAGCTGGAATCAAATTCCACGAAAAACGCAACATTGCAGGACCACAAACAGAGTCAGCCGCGACTCCCTCGACACATCTGAGTTTGTCTGATTTTGTAAGTGCGGCACACAAAAGTCCTGGCATGCTCTGACACGCTTCGCCAGGCCTGAGAGGGTAAAGACATGCAATGAAGTGCTTGCAATGTGTGGCTCACATCTGACTCACTTTCCAGGGCTTGTTTTCGCACTTCATCATCATGGGATTCTGCTTTCTGGCTTTTTCTCTCTTAAGTTCAACTTATTCGTCTGTCCCTTCAAATCCAACCGCCCTCATAATTCTCCATATATACAAATATAATATATATATATATATATATACAGACTCATCTAGACTTTCAGTTCAGTTCGTTATTCACACGCTGTTTCGCGACGTGTATGCACTGAGCTCACAATTCCGGCGCAAGCCCCCGCTGATCACATTTTCCTCGTGAATGCACACGTTGTGGATGGAAAGCATACCATAGTGTGTGTGTGTGTCTATGATCAGAAGGCGCATGTGGTGCTAGTAGTAATTCTGCGGAATGTCCTTGCCAGCAATCACGTGCTCGGTCGGGCGTCCATGGCAACGAGTCAGGTGGTGTGAACTTGCACTGTGCTGCGGCACGAAGCTTGAGCTCCAGGCGCCCTGGAAGGTTAGGCTCTCCCCTTTCAGGCGCTTGATGTCGGCAACGCCTGCATGCATTTCCCTGCAGGGCCCACCTACAAAACAAGTTCCACGCTAACGACGCATTAGCAACAATCTACGTACTAAGAAAGTGCATTGCCCTTCTTTGGTCGAAGCGCGAACTGTGCCAAGAGAAAAACGGTGCCGGTGCTGGGGTGAAAACTTCTGCGTCCGCACCTCAAATCACCGCCCAATTCGGCGAGTGCCGGCCGGCAGGTCTTGTTGGTATGAAGCGAATAGGGTGGCGAGGGTGGGAGGTCGACAAGCTGTCGAGCCGAATGGCTCAGCAGTCGAGCCGGACTTGTTCCTAGACGCACACGTGCGTCAGACAACAAGTCCCATGCTAACTCCAAAATCTGCGCACTGCACAACCTACAAAGTGTGAGCACGGTCTAGCCCGCGCCGCCGGTCGAGAATGCCATGACGAGGCGACGGAGAAGCGAAAGGAGGGCAAAAGAAGTCGAAAAGCGGTCGAGCTGAATGCTTCTGCGGTCGAGCACGGGGCTTGCTCCTACACGCACGCGAGACCCACGCGTGCGTCACACAACATGAGGCTGAAGTCCATGCACGACAGCTATGATGCACAATGAGCCTTCTATTTCGAAGGGAAGTCGCCCGGACAGCCTGAGGTGCCACGTGCAGCTGGCGCCATGCAGTAGGATGCTTCAAGCCCAGCACATGATGTACAGCAAGACCCCGAAGCTCCAGAAGTCAATTCGCCTGTCGTGCTAGCAAATCCGCGCGCAGGCAAAACATGTCCGAAGCAGAAGAACAAAGCCGGAACGACTCATCGTATTGACCGGTCACAACCTGCAAGTCTTGCAGTGATCCCCTAGACAACACTAGCGTGTTGGCCAGGTAGACCGCTCGCTGTAATCGTATGAGGCTTGAAATTGAAGGGCATCTGTTGCGACTTGGGACTTGCCGGGTCGATCCGACCAGCTCTCATCTGAAGTGTGCCTCTGGTGCCAAGTAGTCCAAAGTTCCGCAGGCTGTCATTCCTCGTACGCCAAGCTGTCGGTGGATCATAAGGCTAAGAATCACAGTGATGCCGACCAGGCCTGCTTCTTGTTCTCCGACTCGTCGTAAGCACTTGGACAAGCCAAAGTCTGCGATCTTGACCTCGTGCCTCACAGAAACGCTTCTCAAGAGTACCGCACGAGGCAGCAGACACTACGTGCTGTATCTCGCAAAAACATCGATTTGCGACATTCACTTTTGTACCGGTGGCCAGTTCTCGTCCCTTCAGCAAGGCCTGCAATCCAGGTTGACTTCGCCACTGGCTGGCACGGCCACACCCTGTACGGAGAAGAACTCTTTAGCTCACCAGTGACAAGACCACGCATCATCGAATCGTCTCGATGATGCTTGGAGCCCTCTGAAGCACGGAATACCTGCTCAACACTACAGCCGGCTCGCAGACATTGAACACCCTGCTACCCGCAGAGCAGGCTGCCGACTCTAGGGAAAATGTGACCAGGCGAAGTCTAAATGGAACTACGAGTAAGACTAGACTGCTGCAGCTGGTACCTGTGAGCAGCTTGCAGATTAAGAATCAACGATTGCCTGCCCTTCTCGCAGCATCAAGACAGAGATAAACTCAGGCAATGAGCCTCGTGCAATTTGGCAGCCCAGGGAGGTCTCCACTGGCTTGGGACTCGCTACGGGTCAATGTTGGCTGGCCTCCGTCCATTCCACGTGTCCACTTGATCATGCCACAGGAGAGCAAACTGATTAGCTTTGAGCGCTCATCCAATTGGCTCCGCTTGGGCTTGTGCCTGTCCTTGCCAAGACCACCAAGCAAACCGCGGTGCCATGGCTGCTCCGGCCGCTCATGCTCTTGCAAGTTACCGCTTCTTGCACGAATGCACGAACTCGTCAATCCATCTCGCGAAACTGTTCGGCTGGAAGCCCGCTGTAGAGCTGGAACAGACTGACACATGGCCCAGAGTTTCTGGAACCAGGTGTAGGTCATGAAAAAGCCGAGCAGATAGCAAAATCCACCAACACCCAGAATTCCAATGTTCTTTAGTCGCTCGCCCATTTGCACCCGATCTGGATCCATCTGTGCGGCAGAGAAGGACATTTCGCCTTCAAGATGGGAGTCTCATTTATTGCAGCTAGGCATGCAAGGCTTCCTGCCTGACCTGCCCTGGATCTTCCTAGCATCGGTTTCCCACTCAGACTCTCCCTGTGGTTTTCAGCCGCTTCCTCTTTTCTTGGGCTGGAGGTTCAAACAGGGTTGTCCTCGTCTCTTGACCGGCCTCAAACCTGCCTTCAGCCCTGAGTCCCTTTCAATGCACACCACCTCAACCTGACCTGTCCACACGTACTCTCGTCAGGCATTTCGCAGCTCTTTGGTACATGTATGACTCTTCACAGTACGACCAGTAGGATGGTGTCCTGGTGTGTCCTGGTGCACCTCAGTGGGTGAGTTGGTGCCGTCTTGTCCGGCTTTCAACCCTCCTGCAAGCGAGTTTGCCGTGTCCAGCCACCCCGCACACCAGGAGTCTGCAGACGGCAACACCGGTCTGACAGTTCAAGCATTGCGGGGGAAGAGGCGTGGGAAACTCTGACCGCGTCTTGCGCCGAGCATGGCTCGCCTTACAAAGGGCTTTTTTCTTTGCGGCTCTCAGCAAGCAGGCAGCAGACAAAAGCAGTCTCTCGGCAACTCTGAGGAGGCTGCAGGCGAGAGCGTCTCGAAAGTCTCGGTGCTCGGCTCACGTCCCCAAGCCACAAAGTTCTCTTTGACACAGTCAATGCTTTTAGGAACTTGCTACTCTTTTCTATATGCGCTGCACGACAGACTTCAGCCACGTGTCATGGCCCTTGCGAAGTGACAGAGCAAAACCGGGGACCCACCTGGAACTGCCTCGCCCAAGTGCGGGAGATCCCCTAACTCGTCGAAGCTGCCGCGGCAAAGCATCGGTCCGAGCTTGTTCTGCGATCGCTCAAACATTCCACCAATATTCATCCCACACTTCTTGTCAAAAGGAGCTGTGGTCCCGAAGTGCTGCAGTCCGAAGCTGATATCCACCCCGACATTGAACTTCAGCTCCAGGTAAATTGGAATTTCGCCTTTACCAAGGAATTGCTCGGCCAAGGTTCCAGACGAGTCCTTGGATATTCGACTGTCCATATATACTTTGATAGTTCCTTGTCCTTCTGATGGGAGTGTTGAGCCTTCCAGAAGTGTAAGCACACCAACATTCGTACCTTCCGGGACTGTAGCTCAACATGCACAGACTCTACTGTAGATCCTTTGGACTATACCTGCAGTGTACTGCAACTCCCCCTGGCCTCGATCTTTGCCAACGTACACATGACCCGGCGTGTCATTCAAAATCTTGACATCGTAGGGGTTGGGGTTAGAGCACAGCACGTGTATTTCCACACCTACGTGAATGGAGTCCCCGACCTCGAACTTCTTCAACAAGGCCGTTTGATCACCGCACGATGTGGCTGTGTAGACGGGTGTAAATTTAATGAAAAGATACGTGTTGAATAGTCCATATAATAGCATCAGCACTCCCAAGCAGTGCCCACATCCAGATTCCCGGAATGGCTCGGATGTCATGTGGGAACACTTCCTGAGATCCAACTTGAAAGGTGCTGCGGCACTGACGTTACGGGCAAGGTTCAAGGAGTAGCTGAGCTTCTGAGCTTCCTGGTCCTAGACCCACCCATGGAGAGCTCTGACTGAGGAGCTATTACATACGAGTATCGGATTTCAACTACGACTCAGCTGGAAACATTTCAGAACGAAGTGGCTCTGGTCCGAGGAAGGAACCTGAGTTCTGCATCCCACCAACCCTTTCAAGCACATGTTTCTTTAAGCATCTTCTCAGGCCCGTGCGAACGATCAGCACGTTTTCCTTCAGGAGCTGAGTCTGTGGAGAGTTGTTTTCTGGGGCTGGGGCGAAGTGCTTTCTCGAGTGCCCTGCAGGCTTCAGGTCGCGATGAATGACCTGCACAGTGTGGCATGACCAGCTCTCTTACAAAGAGGAGAATCCCCACCTTGTGTGAGTGCATGTAGGCGATGCCCCCCAGAAGCTGCAGGGACACGTGCCTGGAATACGTCCCACTTCTGCATAGTCTTCCCCGAATCCTTCATCTCAATCTCGAAACTGCCAGGCCCGATATCTTCGACCCGCCTGGAAGACTGCTCGGAGCCGAGCCCGACTCCGGGCTCTAGCTTGCCGTGCAAGTCGCCGCCTGCGCAGAGACCGCCCGTCTCTCTCTCTCTCTCTCGCCGCAGTCTCGCCGCTGTGCAAAGGCAGTCCACCTCGCGCAAGATCCATGACGATGTAGCACAAGTTGCCTTCCCAGAAAGCCTGAACATATCAGGCTGTGCACTCTCGCGTCTGAGTCTTGCAACACTGTATCGGGCTGAAGCGTAGCATCTTTGGCTGTCAGGGAGACAACTAATGGCCTCTTTCAAGTTGACTATTCTTGGATGGTGCAGCCTTGTGATTGCAAAGTTAAATGCGCACCTTCATCTGCAAAACATGGCTCCCCGAGCTCAGCACTCGCGCATTACGCTGATTTCTCGCCTCACGTGGGACCGAGACACGACGCGACAGGACCAGGACAACAAATATAAACACGTGTCTTTTGCCGTCAGCACCTCAGGCTCGCCATTGTTCGCTCTCGAAGCCCGATGGCTTTCGTATTCACAATCTGGCCGCCGAAGCACAACACACACACACACACACACACACACCAGCTGCACTCTTTCCCCGGCCTTCACGGCATATTCGTTTCCGGTACCAAGTCGCTTGCAAGCGTAGACACGGCCTCTCTTGCGGATTCCAAGTCTTCTGTGAGGAGAGGACGGCTGGCGGTTGGGAGCCTTGAGAGCCTCCTCCCAACTCCGTCCCCAGTTCGAAGCTGTCATCGTGCAGCCCGAACCTATGACGGAAACACCTCCCGTGCTTTGGCTTTAGCCGCTCCGCCCTGGGAGCCTGGTACCCTCCGCTGGAAAAGCGCTTCGAGGAGGGGCCATGGCGAGGTCGGAAATGACGGCATAGAGCCGATTGCAACTGCTCGAAGTGGGGTTTTCTCGGTCTCAGCGTCCCACTGCGAATCACAATAGCAACTGCCAAAATGCAAGCTTCCACACAATAGCTGCGTATATATCTATGTGTGCGCATGTGTACAGGTATACAGTTAGAATATATTAATGCTTGAGTATGTGCGTGTGTGCTTGTCCGAATGTCGGTGTGCGTGTGTTGATATGTTTATATGTATACATGTGTGTGCGTTTGTGTGCGTGTGTGCGTGTTTGCTTGATTGCTGTCTTTCTTGTTTGTCATGCTTTTCCTGCTGGAGCTGCTGTGGCCGCGAATGTGGCTTGGCAAGATGCAGGCAAAGCAGAATCATTGACAGACCTTCTGGTAGCGCCATATCCAAAAGCCACGGTGCACGTGTTCGCATGCTGATGACATGGCTCATCTTAAACCATTTGGGCACATGCCAGATGTGAGACCGGAGCTGTAGCATGTGCAAGCTTTTGGCACATTGAAAAAGCTGCTGCCTGCAACAGGGTGAGACTGCCGACGCGAGATGCCAAAATGAATGCAGACTGCAACTGTTTGCAGGTGCCATTGAAGGTCAGACAAACAAGACTGAGTATACTAGCATGGATCTGTACGGCGTCTTCGCGCGCCTCTATTTGCATCATGCAGCACTCTTCTTGGGAAGCTGCTTTCCTCGAGGAAGGCCCTTGCCTCGCATTCACCGTCGTCCTTTGAGTCCCGGCGTGGCATGGCGTGGCCTTTTTCTACACCCAACAACCCAACACTTGCCGCTCGAAGCTTCTAAGTGCGATGCGCTCCGGCGACGGAAACATCGCCCCACTGCCGAGGCAAGCCAGGCATCTGCCTGGAATTCGCTACAATCCTCCGTCGGATCCCGAAGTAAACCTCTGAAATCAAATCAAAGTGCCTGGAGGGAGAAGGATCTCGCATGTGAGCGCCCTCCATACCTTCAGAGCAAGCATCACGTTCGTACGAGCCGGTCACCACGCAAGAGGTGCTAGGGCTAGGGTGCTGGCAAACGCTTGCACCGACACCCTTCAGTGCCTCGTAGAAGAGCACATCTGAAACTCTGGGCATCCTACCTAGTGCTCCCAGAACCCAGGAGCAGGCAGGATTTTGCCAATGTCGAGACGACAAGCCTGATTTGCTGAAGCCGTGGGGTCACAGTCATGATCCTGCACTGCGACGCTGCGACCCGGCGTGCCTCCCTCGTCATTGCTGTCAGCATGCTCCCGTCTTGCCTTGATGCTACTTTGAGGGAGCAAAGGTTTCGCAACAAATGTTGCGCTCATACAGGCGAGTGCGACGCACCTCGCTCTGAATGCTCGGCGACTTCTTCATCTGTGGAATGATCGGAGTTGCAATGCAGGCACGACATTAAGCTATCATAGTCGCCTCCATGCCAGGTCCGCCAGCCTTCGGCGATTGTAGGAGTTTTTGACTGCAAGATCACTCCAGCGCTCCGTGCCTCGGGCTGCGCCCGTGTTCCTTTGGCCTGCTCCTCGACACGTGGCCACTTCCGGATGACGAATAGCCTGACAGCTCTGCGTCCTCGCGGAGCATTCTCCGAATCTCGTACTGGATCAAGGGCCGCTGCAGGATCTCCTGGCGGGTCCTAACCTTAAGCTCTAAGCACTCTAAGCCTAATTCTGGAACGATCACCATGCTCGTCTTGTCGTCCAAGCTTGGGTTGTCGTGGGTCATAAGAGTCACAAGCGACCACAAGATGCCGCGAGCTTTGGAGCCTTACTCAGTCAAGCCTGGCCCTGAAGTTTTGAGTACGACGGCATCATGAGAAACTAAGTCGCATTCCTCGTGGCTAACCAAAACGATAACTTGTCTCCAGCAGCTATCTGAGTTGGAGCACTGATGTTCATCCGAGCAGGTGGTTGCCGTTTGTGTGACCGCGACCCAAGGAAAAAAAAAAAAACTGGCACAAGCCACAGCAGGGCTGCAGTTTCAGGGACCGAACAACCATACCATCAGCGGCACCTTTCCTTTTTGACGTTAGCCGCGTCGGTTTTCTTCGGGTTGACAGCATCTGTCTGTTCTGTGTCCGCCATGCCGTTACCCGAGAGCTTTTTCAAGGACCTTTTCTGGCCGATCCAAGAGAGCCTTTTGAGGCAGGTCCGTGCGCAGCAACTTAGTGTTGCGGTTGGAAACCCTTCAACATCACTCGGTGACAGTCATCTTGATTGGCCTAAAGCTCCCTTCAAGCAGTACTCGCCCTAGTTGTACTTAGCCCCCTGACCCTCGATTTAGGAGTTCACTCGTTGCAGGTTCCCGAGGGTTTAGTACGGTTTGAGCCTTAGGGCTTTAGTTGGGGTCAATCGCATATTTTTCGTTGGGTTTCCGGGTTCCGGGTTTGGGGTCTTGCGTTTGGGGTAAGGGGCTTAGCCGACAACGCGAAGGCTACCCACGCCATTCAAGCCGTCCTGGGCGCTCGGCCTCTGAGTTTGTTCACGATGAAGCAGATCACCGCCTCAGGGCACTTCACAAGCTGATCTCTTGCCATCTGGTGCTGCGATTTTCATGTACAGTTGGGGGAAGCCACTTCAGAAGGCATGACATTCCTGCACGACGTCGGACTCATTGAAAGCTCTGCTGTGGAAAGCCAAGGGCTACCACTACTCAGGTCACCCGGAATTTCAGAGAACAAGCTGTTTTCGGACAACGTCACTCCCTCATGCCATGTGGGGACACGTAGCCTGAGTGCAATCTGTGAAATTTTCTGAGCAACCGCGAACATGGGAACATGGAGTGGGGTCGAAAAATCGACCTGACTTGGCGAGAAACTAGGATTCTGAAATTGCATCGATGACGTGATGCAGGCCGAGGGTGTCTTCAACTGAGACTGTTCTCTTTCCTATCTCCAAGCTGGATACTCCCTCTGTCCGACAGATTGGGTGTAGAAGATAACACGTGCCGTGGATCGGCAACTCTTGCGCTTCAAGTGCTGCTTCCACTCTCAAGTTTTCTCCTATTGGACACCAGCCTTTCCAAAGCAAGGGTGATATCACTTGGCTTTGAAAATTGCTCGGCCCACTCTGGGCTCCAGCCATTCAGCCTCGGGCCTCTGGGGATCCTTGATTCTGTACTGCTGCTGCTCTGACTGATTCTTCCAGGCTCCTCCCTGCCGACCAAGCCTGCAAAAGCTGCAACATCTAAGCAGTCGGCAGAGCTGCCTCAAATCATGCGAGTATGAATTCGGCAGAACCGGTGTTGGTCCTCGCCTGGATTCAAAGCGCAAGTCACCGACACGAAAAGCAGGATGCTTCAGTAAGAGCACTAAGGCTTCCACGTTATCTTTTGAACGAGCGATTGCAGACTCGTTGCCTGAATCGGGCTGGAGAGCGGCCAAAATTGGTGTTGCCACGGGCCATGTGAGGCACACGCATCGAAGGGAACCCTGAGACAAGCGAGCTCATACAGCACGCAGCCCAACGCCTTGATCAGAGACTCAGCATGTCTCAAAAATGAATGTCGGCGTTCTTGCCGAAGGATCTGACCCAGATGTCGCTGCTGAAGGTGTAAGGCTTTTCCAGACCTCACGGCAGGCTTTGATGGTTCAACCTGTCCACACTGCACCAGTGCTGCGCCAGTGTCTTTCACATCTGGGCAACCAGCAGATCTCTGGACTCAGGTAGTATGGGGTGCCGATCGTTGTCTTTGCGAAGGCACACGTGCTTTCCAACACCTTGCTGGCGGCAGAATTAGAGCACCTCATCCTTGCAAGAGCTGCGCAGCTCAAGAAAGCTGCTCAGTCGGATACTCTGGAAATCCCAAAGTCTCCTATTCGCAAACGGTCCTGGCAATGCGGCAGATGCGGCAGGTCTTGAGGCTCGGAGCAACGATAAGCTATGCAACCGGGAGCAGCCTGAGCCGTCAAGAAGAGGTTCTGGCTTTTCAAGTCCCTGTGCAGCACATGCTTGTCCTGCGGCAGCCGCACTTGCACAACTTGCTTCGACTTTGCTGCCATAACAGAAGCAGCATGTCATGCAAGTACTTGAGCGCCAGCGCCGCTTCTGTCAGCCACCTGCATCGCAGCATGCTTGCGCAAGGGAGCAAGTCAGAAAGTCCGGACTTCGCAAGGTCGCCTGACAATCCTTTCCTCGGAGAAGACCTTGCCGGCTTGCCGTGTGCGCTGTATTCGTTGATGGAGGTCCCCACCGTCCGCATAGTCCATGACCTCAGCGATAACATGGCCTTGCATGGCAATGCCAGCTCTATCAAATCCAGAAATCAAGGTTGCGGCTATGGCCAAGTTTCGGCCTTCGGACATGTAGCTTTCTCTGTAGGACCTGACCGGTGGCATGCCGATGCCCTAGATCTAGATAAACGCAGCTGGGACACGGGCACAATGTATGGGTGCTTCAAAGACGACAGCACCCGCACCTCGTTGATGGCGTCCTGTGCTGTTTTTTTTTCGATTTTGCTTTGGCGTTCAAGCGCAAGCGACACACTTGCCATATCCTGTGCAACACATTAACCACTTCTTTTGGCGAAGGCATGAAGTGCTGTGACACCGACTTGTGACAGTCGTCTTAGATGCCTGACGTCTACATTGTCAGGTCCTTTCGCTGCTTGGGGTCCATCCGGCTCATGTCGATGATCTTCATCACATAGAGCTTGCTTTCTTTATCCTACGGCACATGTAGCGTGACCCAGACTTCAAAGAGGGAAGGTGTGGCATGGGAATCAGATCTCGTCCTGTACAAGAACCGCTTTGCCATAGCTGCCTTACGTGGCAACTTCACAATGAAGTTGCAAGACGTCCTAGGCATCTAGTTCAGAACGGTGAGAATGCGCCTGATCCAATGTCCTTTATCTTTGTATATCCTCTGGATGTGGTGGCCGCGGCAGGCTCAGAGCTCATGGCACCTGACTGGACCAGGTTCCCAAACGCGAAGCGAATCCAAAACAATTCTTTACGAGCATCGACATCTGAGAATAAGCTGCAGGCTGCGGGTGAATTCGTGGAGTTACGGACATAGAATGCGTCAGCCAGTTGAAACTTGTGCCACGAAACTTCTCTACTTGTAGCACGCGATTCCTATCCAACTTGATATGTGTAGGTATGCATGCGCCTTCAGCTGCATCGAACGCTGACTTTGGTTTTTTGCTCCCCCAATGAGGTGCTCTTCTGTAGCAGAGCCACGGAGACTTCTGGGGTGCATCAGCTCAAATCATGCTAAAGAGTCTGTGATCATTACACAGCATCTTCATGACTCCTCGACGATGTGTGATGATGCCCTTGAGCCTCTGAGGAGACACGAACATGGCTGGCAACCAGGTGGGTCAATGTGCTCGTGCCCATGCTTCGGCTGCGGAGCCTACAGCACGAGAAGCCCATGCGCTAACACACATTAGCAGCTGCCACAACCTATCGTTGACTTTACACAGCAGCCGGTCGCCGCGGGCATCCACAGGCAGGCTACGGAGCGGTGACGGTGGCACCTGTCCAAGGTCCGTTATTTTCAACATTGAGGCTGTTCCGATAAACACTGCCAGGCCTTCTTGAAGCGCAGTTGCTCCCTGCGGACGAGTGAGAGTCGGCGCAAGCTGGGAGAGACGTTTCTTGCTTCGGCCGGGGCCCTGGCAGTAAGCCAGCTTGGAAGGAAACTCGGCAACCAGCTCTGCTCCGTTGCTGCCTGCACGGCTCTGCAGGAGGGGAGACAAAGCGACGCTGCGAAAAGGTGCGAGTCGTGGCCGTGACGCTTTGCTTGAGGTGCGTTTAGGTTTGCATGACGTTTCCTGGTGACTCGTGACGCTTCGCATGTCGCGGCATGCGCTGGCCATGAGAGTCACATCGCGACGCTTTTATCTGTGTCGTGATGCCCGGGCCGTCTGGCAGCTTCGCAGCTGTTTGGACCTGTGCGGAACTGCCTTGTGTAAAGTGTACACTAACTGTGCACATGTCGCTGACCGCAAGCAGAACCAAAAGCCACCTGGTAGTCTAACCGGTCTTTCTGCTCCAGTATCTCAAGATAATGTTGACATGCCTCTGGCTCACTCGGTTGTTGCAGAGTTCGGGTCACCTGACAATTGTGCAAGCGAGTGCATGTTGCGACGCATCAGTTGTCCGGCCTCGGACCCGTTTTGCAGACCTGCAAGCATTTGGCAGAGCTTGGCGTGCTCGGCCAAGTCTTCTGCACTTTTGCTACGCCTGGGCTTCGGAAGCAAGGTGGAAGGCTCGGTGTACTCGCAGCCCTGAGAACCCGACACGTGGGCCAGTTCTTCCATGCCGTGTGCTTCCTGTGCTTCCGCCTCCTGCAACTTGGAGCTTGGGAGGGCCTCGAGAGGCAAAGTCAAGCTGGACACCTCGCCTGCAGCTCAGATTTCAGCACTGCCACCACACCAGGCTGCCTGTATCAGCGGTTCGAATCCCAAGCGCGCTTTCGTTTGCTCAGTGGATCGGCGCCCAACTCCTGTGCACGTCTTCTTGCGATGGCTGCATGAGCCTGGCCGCGATTCGGAATCCCAGACTGCAAAGCGAGCTTCCTTCCACAGAATACTGCCTCTCCCAATTCGGAGGCAAGCTCTCGTGCACGGCCCCAGGCAGCATCACAGGAGTCTTTCAAGTCCTTTGCAACAGTACCCGATCGACCTATCGGGCAGCAGAACCAACACAGGAAGGGGGGAGCAGTTGCCTCAACCCTTCATCGGTATCTACCTATCGATCCTACAGTATCTATTTTTATGTATCGTATACTGTCTCTCCGTCTCTCTGTCTCCCTGCCCTTCCGCTTTGATGAGTTCGAGCTAGCCGGACCCGCCCCGGTGCTCCCTCTTCTTGCTGAGAGGAGGCATTGAGGTCATGAGTGCTCCGAGCCGCGGTATCTCTGCATCTTCTTCTCCTGGGTACGAGCCGCAGGGCGCGCCCCTGTTTCGGGGCCCTCTCTCTCTCTCTCTCTGCATCTCTCTATCTTCTTCAGCACAGACAAGGGCCCGTTCGGAACTTCGTGCGAGCGGCCCCCACGCATTTCTGCGAATTGGAGGACTTGATGTTCGGAGTGACACGAAGGACGAGACGGATGCAATCACAGGTTCCCCAAACACAAACCAGCTATGCCTATACTCCCAACCTGCCTGAAGGCTAAGCCTAGCCTGTTAGGCTTATGGTGTAGGCAAGGGCATCCTGTCTGTTGCAGGGCCGCGGCCGCTCTACGAAAAGCACAACTGTCTGGTCACCCAATTGGTTACGGTTCTCTTGATTGCTCTTAACTCTCTGTTTCTAGTTATCTATCCATCCCATATATATATACACATTATATATAAGTATATAATTATATAACTATATATTTGTATAATTTTATATATACACATATATATATATATATATATATATGTAAATTTAAGATAGATTATGCCTGCGCTTGGCTGGTGCGGCACGCTGCCGCGGCCAGGCTGCGTAGTGGCTACATGGACAACCGGATTCTGCGCTTGGGGTTTACCACATGCTCCGTCCCAGGCTGGGAGAGAGCCCACGGATTCGTTAGGAATACGTTGGAACACGCAGGTGGTGCATTCTGCCTGCACTTGAGCTGACGCATGGTTTGGGTTCGCCTGAGTATGCTTGAGTGTGGATGATGTAGGTGCATTTCCTCGAAGCTCAAGACTGTACTTTCAGCGAGAGTCTTGCAGCCGACCTGTGCCGAGGATCCGCCACGTTGCTTCAGCCCTTGACTCTGCTTCGTGCTTTGATCTCTCCACAAGCTCATTTTGACAAAGCCCTCTTCCTTCTCACTTCCGATCTCAGCCATATCATGTTTCGAAGAATGTTATTTTTTCAATGATTCAAGAAGGTGTCCTTGATCTGTGGGAACTTACGTGGGAACTTACCTCACACTTCTTTAATCTTGTCACTATGTAAATTTGTGATCCCGCCCCATGTCCTTGTATTCGTTAGCAGCCCGGGCACTGCTCAGTGACCTCGGATGGCTAAGCGGCAAAGCTTCCCAACATATGACATGACACGCCGGAGCTTTTGCAGCGTCCAAGCCTGCATGCAAGGACTTGACCCAACTCATCGCGCAGGGCCTCGGCCAGAAAGCTGCTCATAGGCTTACTTTCTGAGCCTTGCTGCTTCAACCGGACTGTCTGCCGCGAGTGCCAGCTGCGCCATGCACACGCTCACGTGGCTTTTGTCGCTGTATGGGCTACCATAACATCAAAACCATCGCAGCTCCACTTCGTTTTCTGCCTTCTTGGCATCTAGGTCTGGGTGACAAGTTGGACGTCTCTTGCCTGAGTCCAGCACCTGTTCACGCTGCCGGCCTGTCAGGTCGGACGGCAGAAAGAGCCCTCAGGCTCCCGCGGGGGAGGCCTTCTGCCACCCGTCTCTCCATGGCCTGCAAATCCGACGTCATGCCCGATTCTGCAACTGTGAAATTTCATGCCGTCTGGGTGGTGAAGATGAGTGCACTGCATAGAAGAGCCATGTGGAGAGAGTTATAGTCTATAAAGCTTGACTTGCAGGGGGTTTTGAGGGTTCTCGGTTCCGGCCTCCAGGACTGCAGCTGACGCCGACTTCTGGTCCTGCAACACGTCCGCAAGGTACTTCTTCATGAAACATGTGGTTCCAAAGATTGGGAGTGACGAGCCGAAAACGAGTGGGCATGATTATTCCGTCCCAGGTTTCGGTTCTCGACTGATGTCTCTGGTGTCAACAAGGCCCACAGAACCCAACCCAGTAGCAGACGTGTGGCTGCTTGAACTGCAACGTGAAATTGCTTGAAAAGAGCTTTGTGATCGACGATGTCTGTGCAGCAGTCTGTGAACCAAAGACTTCGCTACGTAGTGCAGCGAGAGAGGAAGGTGTGTACGTAGACTTGTGCGCCAAGGGAGCGGGGGGGGGGACGAAAGCGGGCTGTGGAGCAGCAAGCACAGGAGCCTTTTTTTCTGTGTCACGAGGCGCGCGCGGAGTCGTCGCGGTGATGGTGAGCGTATGTTGAAGCACTTCTGCAGTGCTCTAGGGGGCTTCTGCTGGCCTGACTGTCAACGCACAAACTGAACTATCGGTCGGAATGCTGCTACGAGCCCGAAGGAGCAAGCAGCTGGCGAAACGTGTAATAGCGCAACTGAAACGAGATTTACCTCGGTCACACACAGGACCGGCGTTCCACGGAATGCCGCCGCCTCGCCTATCGGCAGCTACTGACACACAACCCGTCCCCCACCGGGCCCGCCAGGCACACGCATCATGAGCATCATTGGGGTCCCGTTTCTCCAGAAACGCCTCTCTCCAGACCTCACCCGTGCCGCCACGATACGGGTACCAAACGCGCCGAATCCTGCCATAGCATGGGGATTCCCTCGCCTGGGCCGGTCCACCCCCCACACCCTCTTGCTATTCAGCAGCAAAGCTGGGTTAAACCCAAGTATCCTGGAGGGAGCTTTCGTAACTACCGTCTCACGAGTCCTCAGAAGGCGTGACCGCCTCGCCTCGCGTCGGTGTCCTAGCATCCTGACAACTTCTAACCGACGATGCAGGCTGTTGAGAAGTGCTAATGGCCACTCTTTTTCTCCCTCTTGCTCCCGTCGCTCACTCTCTCAGGTTCCGACAACAGACCTTAGATTGAGCAAGGACCGGTGGAGGCTACACCTATTCGGGTCAGGACCGGAAGGTAGGCGCAGAACCTTTCTCTGAGAAGCCGTCGCTGCATGGCATGCAGTTCGCTTTCACGCGTAGCCTGAAATCTGTGTTTGACAAAGGCGGCTTAAGGAAGACCGTCGTCCGGTCATGACAAATGAATTACATCTACCCTCCAGTCAGACGCCTCTACGCCAAATTAGGCCTGTGTCCCAAGACTATCCCAAGTGCATGCGAGCAGCGACGTGCTGATGCAAGGAGTCCAGCTTGGCCTTGCCCGGGGC